TGTGGTTTTCCATCTTTGGGCAAACAAGACCCAAACCTGATGATAATGCAAGAGCTCAAAGAATATCTAACTCTGAGGTGTAATTGCTGATTTTCACATGCTAGGAATGACCAAGTCGTCACCATATTGTCATGAACTTGAACAGAGAGCCCACCAGGGCTCAGGCGGGATCTCCATGCTGTTCAGTCTTTCAGAACAGCCGGGGCTCCATAGATGGACTTTTCTACTCACCAGGAAGGCACAGCAGCTCCCTCGGCTTGAAAAGTGTGTCAAAAGAGTTTGGATTCAGAGTTGTCAACATGTCTCAGAAAGGCCATTCTGGAGCTTCCTAGGAAGCATGTCCCACCCATGGCAAGACAAAGCTAACCCGGCCAGTAACTCAAAGGTGTCCTGGGTCAAGCCCTATGATTTTCGAAAACTTGATGGATAAATTGCCATGACATTTAAAAGCTGTGGTAGTTTCTATTTCATATGCAGTGGAAAACTTTTATTGTCCTGGTAGGGTAGGATATTCCAGCATTCCAGGGAAACAAAATTAATGTCTATTTCACCAGGTGGTTGAGGAAATAAACCATTTTATATGTGAAATTATAAATAGGAATTTCATAGGGCACGACTCAAGTGTGCAAAACATCCCCTGTCTTCCCATCCCAGCAGTAGCACCACTGTTGACTCATCTGTTCAAGTGAGAAACCCAGGACTCATCCTCGAGCCCTCTCTTTCCTTGAGCCCCCTCCTGTCAACTGGTCCAGTTGGACCTACATCCAAATTTCATAGCAAATCTGTCCCCTTCTCTCCATCTATGATGCCACCACCCTAGTCCAAGCCACCCTCACCCTGTGTCTGGGGGATGCAGAAATGGCTTCGGATTAGTCTGCATGCCATGCTGCCCTCCTACCAGCGACGCAACCCCTCCACAGCCCTCTGAATCATTCTCTGTGTAGTGAGCGCCCTACTTGAATCCTGTGATGTTACATCCCTGCCTAAAACCTTCCAATGTCTTCCCTTCCCATGGAAGCCCCCAAGCCACTTGTCCTGACCACCACCATCTCTCTGACCATCTCCCACCATGCCTTCCCCACCCCCATCCTCCCCACACTGGTCACCTTTCTGCTGTTCCCACACACCAAGCCATTCATTTTCCGGGGCCACTCTACCTGCTGACCTTTTCCCGTGCCATCCTTGCTGGGCTCGTCCTTTAGGCCTTAGTCCACATGCACTCCGGCACTGCCCACCTCAAACTAGGCTAGTCCCTTATGTCACTTTGCGTCATGACCCTGTCCATCGCGTTACTAACCATTTCTTGCAGCTGCCTACTTTCTCTAGTTGTTCATTACCCTGACACCTTAGAAACACAGGGCGTTTTCTACCTACTACTGTATGGTTCCCACAGAACATGCCCACACCCCTACCTAAACCCAGCGGGCACAAGGATCTTGGCAGGCCAAAGCAAATATTTTTAATGAACAAATTATTTTATTTGCTATCCATCTTCCTGTTGCACACGCCAATGCAATTCGTGTGCAAGAATAAAATCAACTACTTATAAATCTCTAAATTGCAATATTCAGTGTGAAACTTCGTGGACTTTACACAAAGGGTTCCGCTGCTAAAAATGTTTTTTCTTTGTTTTTCCAACATATTCTTGTTCATCTTTCAAAACCCTGTTTAGGCAAGGAGCCCTAGGCAAGGAGGGATGGGGCGGGAACTGTTAAGGCCACAGGACAGGGGAGCGTGTGGCCACCTTGCCCAGTTGGTGAGGCTAGAACCTGGGCCTCGAAGGAGGACTGCACTAGAATCTCTGAGGGAAAATCCTGCCCCCGACCTGGAGCTCTTTGTCTCCAGCAATGCTTTTTCCAGAAAGCCAGAAGGCAGCCTCAAATGTCTAGGAACCCACCCATCACCTTTATATACATGGCTTTTGGGCCTCTCAATATGCAGAAATAGGACTTAGGACATAAATGAAAGCCAAATTCACCCAATTGCTCAGCCCAAAAGCTTGACCATCCTCACCTTCTTCCCCCTGCCTCATACACCCCACATCCAACCTGCCAGAATATCTGGCCACTTCCTCCTGCCTCCCCACCCTCCTCCAGGCTACACTTCATAATCTCCTGACGGTGCCACTGTCATGACTTCACCTTCTAATTGTCTCTCTCTCACACTTGCCCCCCACCCTTCATTCTTCACCTAGCAGCCAACCCAGTCTTTTTAAAACTTAGATCCTGGCTGGAATCAGGGGCCCACA